AGAAGCGTTGCAGATTATTTTGAATTTGGATTTATCATCAATTCTATCTCAACATTGTGTAGTGGGGAAACCCTACAATGCAGATTCTAGGTCTTGACCCTGTGCCACCACTCAGTGAAAGTAAATTAACTTCCTGGGATCTTGATTCCCTCACAGGATAAATATGGCCAGGCAACTTTTGGGTTTTTATTTGTTTTTTCCCTACTGATCCAGGGCCTGCTGTGAGCTAGGTGCTTTGCTGGGGGCTTTTGTACACAGGGTCTCATTTAACCCTCCCTATAACCTTGGGCTGACCTCTAACATCCTTTCCTCTGCCCTGGGGCCCTGCAATTGACTGTTTAGGGCCCACAGCAGCTGTTTTCTTATTTTAGTTGTGCTGTCATTCTGTTTGGGTGGAAACAAAATGAATGAGCCATGATGCTTTCATGTTCCAAAATGGGCTTTGGAGAGTACAAATTTTCCTAGACCTGGAAATGCCAAAGTAGGCACAATGAGTTTTGAATCCCTGTTTACTGATATTTGCCAGGAGTAGAGTGGGCTGCCCATATGATGATGGCCTGGACACAGTCAGTATCTGTGTCTCTGTCACTTTTCCTGGTGCAGTACTTTGCACATGATAGGAACTCAGGTCTTGTTTTATGGAGGAAAACATTTTACCTATTTTTACTTTGTTATTTGTGATTTTTATGATTGAATAAACTGTCATTTTTTAGGTACTAGTTTTGGATATTTTACTAGTTTATTTTTTAAGTTTTACCTATCTCCTATTTACGGATCTCCTGTGATATAAATAATGTTTATAATTTATTTCTAAAATTAGGATAATATTGGGTGCCTGGGTGGCTCAGTCAGTTAAGTGTCCTACTGTTGATTTCGGCTCAGGTCATGATCTCAAGGTTATTGAGTTTCAGCACCATATTGGGCTCCACTCTGACAGTGCGGAACCTACTTGGGATTCTCTCTTTCTGCCCCTCTCCCACTCGTTCTCTCTCCCTCTCTCTATCTCTCTTTCTCAAAAGAAATAAATAAATAAACTAAAAAAACAAAATAAAATAAAATTAGGGTAATGAGAATGTCATGATTCTGCTAGGATTAAATGAAATAATATATGAGAACATTATTTATAATATAGAAAATATCATATAACTGTTATTGTTCTTATATACCCAAATTAAGATTTTTCTTGAAAGTAATCTCTTTAGAAAAATATATAAAAGTTTATACTTTGGAAAAATATATACTTATTCTTTTATTATATTATAGCATGTATATATGCAATATAAATAATATATATGTATATATCATGTGATATATACATATTATAAGCATATATTATATTATGTCTGTTATATATGTGTGTATATGATGTATGTGATGTATATATACACAATATAAATACTATAATATATATATAGTATATACATTTTATTTATACATATAATCCCAATACTTTTAAATCAGATTTCATTTATTTATTTTCTAAACTTTTTTTCTTTTTTTAAGTTTACTTACTTATTTTAAGAGAAAGAGAGAAAGAGCACAAGTGTGAGAGGGGCACAGAGAGAGGGAGAATCCCAAGCACTATCAGCTTGGAACCAGGTGGGAGACTTAAACTTATGAACTGTGAGATCATGACCTGAGCTGAAATCAAGAGTCAGACACTCAACTAACTGCGCCACCCAGGTGCCCTCAGGTTTTATTTATTTTTAATAACTAATTAACTATGGGGAGAAACTGACAAATTGTCTAATAATGATTCAAGAAAAACTTTAATAATTAGGAGAAATAAGAGAATTCTTTCATCCAGGTCACCAGTTAAGTAGCTATTCTATTCACAGCTTTCCAATGATAGCCATTCTCTCTCTTGACCCTGCCTTTTTAAAAAATGTTTTATTTATTTCTGAAAGAAAGAGAGAGACAGTATGAGCAGGGGAGGGTCAGAGAGAGAGGGAGACACAGAATCTGAAACAGGCTCCAGGCTCTGAGCTAGCTGTCAGCACAGAGCCTGACGCGTGGCTCGAACCCATAAGCCGCGAGAACATAACCTGAGCCGAAGCCAGGCGTTTAACCGACTGAGCCACCCAGGTGCCCCTCTCTTGTCCCTGCCTTTGTATAACATTGTAGGCAGTGTAGTCCCAGTAGTGGCTCATACCAGCACACAAGACCCAGTTGGTAAATTTTCAAAAATTTTGTGAGCCAGTTTTAAAAATAGCGATTTTTAAAAATTAAATTATATCAACTGGGGCGTCTGGGTGGTGCAGTTGGGTGAGCGTCCAGCTCTTAATTTCAGCTCAGGTCATGATGCCAGGGTTGTGGGAACAAATTCCATGTCAGGTTCTGTGCTGAGTGTGGAGCCTGCTTAGGATTCTCTCTCTCCCTCTGCCCCTCTTCTCTGCTTGCACACTCTTGCTATCTCTCTAAAATAATTTTCTTAATTAAATATTAAAAATTAAAAAATTAAATTACATCAGCTTAAAAATATAAATCAATTATATTAAATTGACATTTATATGACATTTATCTCTGAAGGAATCAACATTCATGTCAGAACTACATTTAGCAGTTGAAATCATGACTTGGATCTGAATACAGGATTTTGGCCGAAGTCAACAAAAGCATTTGGGAACATTTAGTCATCTAGAATTTATAATAAGGAGTACATTGCACATATTTTAATAGACTTTATTCTTTAGGGAAGTTTTAGATTCATGGCAAAATTGAGCAGAAAGTACAGAAATTTCCCATATACTCCTGCACAGGCACATATGTAGCCTTCCCCACTATCAACATCCCACACCATAATGGTATATTTGTTACAATTGATGAACATCTATTGACACATTATTAGCCACCAAGATCCATAGTTTACATTGTTTTTTAAAAAAATTTTTTAATGTTTTATTTATTTCTGAGAGAGAGAGAGAGAGACAGCATGAGCAAGGGAGGGTCAGAGAGAGAGGGAGTTACAGAATCTGGAACAGGCTCCAGGCTCTGAGCTAGCTGTCAGCACAGAGCCCAACATGGGACTCGAACCCATGAACCGTGAGATCATGACCTGAGCCAAAGTCGGACTTTGGACACTTAACCAACTGAGTCACCCAGGCATCCCCATATTTTACATTGTTATACTCTTGGTGTTTGCACTTTCTATGAGTTTTGATAAACGTATAATGACATGTATCCATCTTCATAAAAATCATACAGAATAGTTTCACTGCCGTAAAAGTCTACTGTGCTCTGCTTATTCAACCCTGCCCCCAACGGATCCCTGATCTTATTTATTGTCTCCATAGTTTTGCCTTTTCCAGAATGTTGTATGCTTGGAATCCTACAATATTTAGCCTTTTCAGATTAGCTTTTTATTTCACTTAGTAATGTACATTTAATTTTTTTCCATTTACACGTTTCTTCATTGCTTGCTAGCTCATTTCTTTTTAGCACTGAAAAATATTCCACTGTCTGGATGTATGACAGTTAATTTATTCACTCACCTATTAAAGGATATTTTGACTGCTCCTAAGGTTTATCAGTTATGAATAAAGCTGATACAAATATCTGTGTGAATGTTTTTGTGTGTACATTGTTTTATTATTTGAAAATTGTATGCTATACATCCTTTATATCAGTAAAATGTGTAGTAAACTTATGTACAAATATATATTTATATTTTGATTGTTCTTTCTTAAACATTTACCTGGACACCACTGCTTTAAAAAGCCATGGTCAACACTTTGACTTTTACTCTGAGTGAAAAGGCAAGCTACTGAAGGATTTTTGAGCAGGGGAGTGGTTGGCATTTTTAAAGGTTCCCTCTAGTTGTATTGAGTAGACACTTTGGCAGAACAGAAGCAGGGAGATAAGTTAGGAGGTGTTTACCTCAAGGTGAGAGAGGATTGAGATTCGGGTGAAGGCTTCTAGTCTGATCTAATCTAGATTAGATGCCTGGTATCTCTGTCTCTTAGCTCTGTTACTCTGGGCTAACTAGTGCATGGGGCAATGGATGGTGGCCTATTACAAAGCTCCCCTTTTTCCTGCTCCAGGTAGGAGCAAATTGAGAAATAAGACAAGTCAGCCATTAAAAACAAAAAAGCAGGAGAAGAAGAGGAAAAGTAGTTGGGGAGAGGGAGGGAAGCAAGCCATGAGAGACTCTTGAATGCTGAGGGCTGAGGTGGGTGGGAGAGAGGGGAAGGGGGGTGATGGGCATGGAGGAAGGCACTTGTTGAGGTGGGTGGGAGAGAGGGGAAGGGGGGTGTTGGGCATGGAGGAAGGCACTTGTTGGGATGAGCACTGGGTGTTATATGTAAACCAACTTGACAATAAACTATAAAATAAAAAAATAAAATCTTTATTGTTGGGATGCCTGATTGCCTCAGTTGGTAGAGCATGTGATTCTTTTTTTTTTTTTTTAATGTTTTACTTATTTCTAGGAGAGAGAGAGAGAGAGACAGCGTGAGCAGGGGAGGGTCAGAGAGAGAGGGAGTCACAGACTGAAACAGGCTCCAGGCTCTGAGCTGGCAGTCAGCACAGAGCCCGACGCGGGGCTCGAACCCACGAACCGCGAGATCATGACCAAAGCGAAAGTCGGAGGCTTAACTGACTAAGCCACCCAGGTGCCCCTAGAGCATGTGATTCTTGATCTCAGGGTTTTAAGTTTGAGCCCCATGTTGAGTGTAGAAATTACTTGGAAATAAAATCTTTTAAAAAGTACCTTTATTGTAAATATCTGGGTTGAAAGATGTAGTTTAGCGTGAGAACAAAAATGGACACATTTTTTTTCTCCAATCTAGGCCTTGGACCTGAGGGAAAGTAGGTCCACAGACTAGATACTTAAACAGAATGGAGAGAGAAAAGCACACAAACTTTTTCTTTTTCTTTTTACTCCTCTGTCTCTCTTCCTAAATCTAGAACACAAGGATTCTACAGTATTAAAATAACAAACGATTGATTTTTTGCTTTAATTTCTTCTTTTCTTTTTTCTCATTGGAATTTTCCTTTTTTAGGTGATTTTGCACCCAGAGTTCCTATCCTCCACCAGCCCCTTATTACCTATGGATTATGAAGAGTTTGTTCGAGGTTGTCATCTTGGAGTATTTCCATCATACTATGAACCATGGGGTTATACTCCAGGTATATGGCTTTTATAGACTGGGGAATGTTTTAAATTTTATTAATTTAATATTTTATGCACATAGATACATTATCAAAGCTGATATGTAATTCTACCAAGGTTAATACATCATATTAATTATACATCATATTACAAAGAAAAAGAATGTTTTACAAAGGTTACATATTACTGAGTTATCTCTACCAGTACCAATCTATTCAATGTATAGGAGAAATTGACTACAGGTAGGTTTAATATGAAAAACAGTGGTCCAGCAAAAGTATTCTCTAAAACTTATTTCAGAATGGGTTTTTTTAAATCAATGGATATATTTGATTTTTAATAGAGAACACATTTATATAGTTAAAGAGATAAATAGTATAAGAAGGTGTACAGTAAAAGTTTTCTTCATATACTTGTCATTCAAAAAAGAGGTACTTTTAGGATAAAATGCCAATTCAGTAGTAGGTATTATGACCGGTGACATCATTCCATTCAGGCCCTCCTACCTCTCCATCCTCCTTTGTTCTTTTCTGCTCAGTGGTGGATTCTCAGATCCACTGTCTATTTTCCTTTTTGTCCCCTATAAGCATGGATCATTAGTATCAAGAGAACTCAATTCGTATTTGTACAGAAATGTCTATTAAAAAGGAAACAAATACTTTAAATGCAAGACAATGAAAAGAATATAATACTGACTTTTCCTTCTCATATTGGCAATCAGAGATTTCCCTTTTTATATAAATATAATTCCATTTAGAATTTTAAAAGAAAAGTTTCAGAAAACATTTTTACGTATAATGAATACATTTTGCTTTCTGATCTCAAGGTCATCACTGCCCAGGAGAGGTGACAGCAGTCAAGGTTAGGAAGATCATAGGTTGAATTATGAAAAGGAAGAATTTTTCTAATCTTTGTATTCTCATCCCAGAGTTTCAACATAGAATTTAAAATTCTATATAGGGAGGTGTTTGGGAGGCACAGTCAGTAAAGTGTCCATCTGGGGCTCAGGTCATGATCTTATGGTTGGTGAGTTTGAGCCGCATCAGGCTCTCTGCTGTCAGCACAAAACCCGCTTTGGATCCTCTGTCTCCCTCTCTCTGCCCCTCCCCCTCTGGTTTCTCTCTCTCTCTCTCTCTCTCAAAAATATAAACATTTAGAAGAAATAAGAATAAATTTTATGTAAATAAGATCTTATCTTTACAATAGGAGCAACATGAAGTCTCTGCATCTTTTAACATAAGGTGCTATTCTATCGTTTTAAGTTCCACCAAGAATAATTTGCCAGCAGCTGTAAAAACATTAAACTTGTGAGGGAAAATAGATAAAAGATTATCTCTTCCTGAAACATGACACAGGAAAGTTATTCATCTAACTCTTCGAGCTATCTCTCTTGTAGTTCTAAAAATTGTTATGGGTATCTGTTCACTTTTGTAAAGATGATATCTTCACACGTCATCTTCAGTTGTTTACAATAGAGTATCTATCTTTTAAGATATATGGAAATACACATTTTACTGATGGATTGAACATTTTGTTATTGACTTTTGTTCCTATTATTTCTAAGAAGTAACATACTTTATTATCAAGGAAGTTTCAAAAGTAAAGAAGCACAAAACTAAGCATGAGTGACTGAGGGATATGGGAAGTCATTTATGTTGGGTAATGAGAATGTTCTATAAATTACAGACAACTTTCCACTAAAAGTCATTTTATAGGACAAAGATAAACTTAACCTAAATGATGGAGGAGATATATCGAGTGTTTTAAGATAAAGGCCACCAAAAGTGTTATAAAAGATAAGTAGATAGAAAAAGAAGGTTGAGAAATACTCCACGGTGAATGAGTCATTCTGTTTTGAATTAACTAAAGGAAGTTGGCCACTCCTCACCTAACCTATAGTTACAGAAATAACAATACCTCTTCGGTGATATAAGTTTGGTGTTAACATGTTAGATAACTCTATTTTTTTTTTTAGAATAACTTTTTATCTGATACTAAGTTTAACATACTCCAGACAGTATTCATTTAAGTCTGTGTTTTGTGTTTTGAGAAAATCCAATGAATATTAGCACTTGCTCCATTAAATTCATTCAATGAACATATACTGAGGTTATGGGTACCTGGCATTTCAATACATGTGTGTTAATGAGTATTTAATAAAAATAAGGTTCAGTGAACTTGTGTGGAATTGTAGGCAAAATTATTTATACATATATGCATAAGAATTTTTCTGGGAAGAAATTCCAAATTTTCATTAGATTCTTGTATGAATCAATAATCCCTCTCTCATTTTCTCCTCCACCAACCCCTCCCTCTAAAATTAGAAAACCAAATCTCTCTAGAGCTAAACCATGAGGAAACACTTGCAGAGCAGAAGAAAAGGCCACTGTCCAAATAATATTACTTCTTGAGTAGTGGGGAAATCTTTTTTTTTTTTAACCCAACACCACCAGCCAACCAAGAGTAATTCCATAATCAAATATAAATTCCTTGTTAAAAATGCAGACATCCTTGTGAGAAGCAACACTTCTTTTTTTTTTTTTTAAGTTTATTTATTTATTTTGAGAGAGAGAGAAAGAGAGGGTGTGTGCAAGCGGGGGAGGGACAGGGAGAGAAAGAATCCCAAGTAGGCTCCACACTGTCAGTGTGCACCCTGACATGGGCCTCAATCCCAGGAATTGTGAGATCATAACCTGAGGTGCTCAACTGACTGAGCCACCCACGTGCCCTGAGAAGTAATACTTCTTAAAAAATATATATATACCCACTATTTTATGAAAAACAGGTTTTGCCTAGAAGGTGAGAAATGACTGGGGAGGCTCTGGGTTCAGTGAACACTTGGGGAAGTGGAGGGGGTCCGTGGCATGGCACATTAATTTGATAGGATTTGCTTATGTCCAATACCTATTCACCAACACCTCAAACTCACCACTTACTCGGAGACACACAGCTTAGAATGGAGCAAAAAACAAACCAGATGGAATGAGAGAGGCAATGGAGAGTAGCAGTTTTAAACAAGAGCCCTAGAGCTGGGCACCTGCCTTCAAATCCCAGCTCGACCCCATTCCCTGGCTTTGTGACATTGGGCAAATTATTTAACCTCTCTGTGCCTCAATTTCCTCACCTGTAAGATGTAGATGATGACAGTGTCACTTCACATGGTTGTTGAGATTACATGAGTTAATACATGTAAAGAGCTTAGTACTGTGCTTGGTACAAAATAAATATCGCTATTACTAGGCAGACTTGGGCTTTTGCCCCCTCTGCATGCAAAAGAGGATATAGAACTGGTCTGAAGCCAAACATTTCTATTTCCCCTGGCAGCTGAATGCACGGTGATGGGTATCCCCAGTGTGACAACCAACCTCTCCGGCTTTGGCTGTTTCATGCAGGAGCACGTGGCTGATCCTACTGCTTATGGTATGTGAGGTTTTGCATCATTCACCCAACACAGGGAGACATGTCCTCTAACCAAACGAAGCACGGGGTCTTTACGGAGCCTAACTCTAAAGCTATCCTGATAATTAAAGTAATGCTTTTACCTCTTGTTTAATTCAAAGTAGATTTAATTATGTGCTTCATAAAAATGCTATTAATATTAAATATATTGCCCAAAAGACAAACTATAAAACCAATGCTAAACTTGGGCAAATCTTGCCCTTTTATCTTTTTATTTTCTGAGCCGGTTTGGCCCTTTACTACCTAGAAGGGACATTACAGTAACCGTGGCTTTAGAGTACGTAGATTAGTCAGTGTCATTATTTTAAGGATCTGTGCCAAGTTAGCAAAATCCATTTAATTGTTTAAGATGGCAGAAAAATTTGCATACTATCATCTCTGTGTCCATGTTGCCTAGCAACAAGAAAAGCGAGATGGGATGGACTATCGATCGGCCCACACATTGCCATGCCAATTTCCTGGTCTATGCTTGCATTGTCACAGTTCTCTTTCCTCAGGCTAGAGCTGTGGTTCTCAGCCAGGGGTGCATGGGGAAACACTGAGGAGACTTAAAATCACTGACACCCAGGTCTCACCCCAGAGATTCTGGTTAGTGAGCAGTCCAGGGGAGAATCCCTGATCCAGGGTTTTCCTCTACTGCCAATTTTTTTTTTTTTTTTTAGCAAGATCCATTGTGTTGGCTGTGTGCCAGTGACAGTGACAAACCATTAGGAAGAAATCTCAGGAAAATACAGCGTTGTATTTTCAAGGCAAAATACAGAGGCAATGGGGGCTGTCAGGGAGTGGGTAATGCATGTGACAGTCTGCAATAGAACGTATGGAATGGGAGAAGTAATATTCCAAAGTTAGCCCTACTTTTATCTGTGCTTTGGTTTTTGTGCCCCTCAGGCATTTACATTGTTGACAGACGGTTCCAATCTCCGGATGATTCTTGCAATCAGCTGACTCAGTTTCTCTATGGATTTTGCAAACAGTCCCGCCGCCAGAGAATTATTCAGAGAAACCGAACTGAGAGGCTCTCCGATCTTCTGGATTGGAGATATCTGGGCAGAGTAAGCAAGTTTGTGATCAAGAGAGCCACTTTTAAAATCCTACTGGAGTATAAAAATTGAGATTCTACTCATAATCTAGAAAGTCAACTCAGTACCATCATTGTTAAGATCTCCAGTAATATTTTCATGTACTTTTTAAAACTTAATATAAGCTCACAAAGTCCTAACTCCAAATCTTCATATTGAGTTTGAGCTTATAACAGCAAGTCTGTCAGAAGCTGGCTGCAATTTTACCAGTTACTGTATAGTCAGTACTTAACTTGATGCATTACAAGTATTGGTTCATGAATATAAGGAAAACATCTAAAGAAACATTTGTATTTTGTTTGACTCTAAGAGAAAACATGACCATATTCCTCGAATGCAGTGGGAATGGGGATAACATTGTTTTTCAAATGACAAGTATAGAAAATACCTCCTTTCTTTTTTTTTTTTAAATGTTTTATTTATTTCTAGGAGAGAGAGAGAGAGAGAGACAGCGTGAGCAGGGGAGGGTCAGAGAGAGAGGGAGTCACAGACTCTGAAACAGGCTCCAGGCTCTGAGCTGGCAGTCAGCACAGAGCCCGACGCGGGGCTCGAACCCACGAACCGCGAGATCATGACCTAAGTGAAAGCCTGATGCTTAACCGACTAAGCCACCCAGGCGCCCCTAGAAAATACCTCCTTTCAATTATGCAATAGGTTTGTAAATACCCAGATGTCTATATATTTTAGCACTGGATGATTTAATAAAATATAAGTTGACTTTGCCTTCACATAATGTATCTCTTTAGATACCACTAAGCTCTCCTGAAAAAAAAATGATAGATGCTGCCGTTTGCACAGTGTCTACACACACTAATGCCAGTGTTCATTACAATCCTGGGTGATTAATTGAACTGTCTGCATTTTATAATGAAACCAGAATGAAAAATGACACTTTTTTTAGCTAAGGTCTAAAGTAGAATTTAAGTCCAGTTTATCTGATTATTCGGGCCCCACCTTTTTCCCATGCCATACTGCTTCTCTGTGGAAGCATACATACTTCTTCTGTGGAATGAAGCTAGGGTTTTCAATCCCCTTAGTGTTCAATTCAGTTTTCGGAGTAAGGTCAGTATGGCTTTTCTCTCCAATATTTTTTTTAAAGTTTATTTATTTTGAGAGAGAGAGAGAGATTGAGAATCCCAAGCAGGCTCTATGCTATCAGCATGGAGCCCAAAGCGGGACTTGAACCCATGAACTGTGAGATCATGACCTGAGCCAAAACCAAGTCTGATGCTCAACTGACTGAGCCACCCAGGCATCCCTCCCTCCAACTTTTTGTAGTAATTCTTTACCTACTCACTGGAAAATAATAAAACTATAAACTCATTTCTTTCTGATTTTTAAATTTAGGTGAATAGGCTCTACCACTTTAAAAATGGATTTTATAACTAGGAGAATAAGATTTTATACAATAACTTGGTTATTGAAATATACATTTTTTTAAACCTGTGAATTGGTTTTCTATCACAGTATTATCAGCATGCCAGGTACCTGACATTAAGCAGAGCTTTTCCAGATATATTCCATATGGAGCCTACATCACCACCAACAGTAAGTGTTTTATGTTTTTTAAAAATTTTTTTTAATGTTTTAATTATTTCTGAGAGAGAGAGAGAGAGACAGCATGAGCAGGGGAGGGTCAGAGAGAGAGGGAGACACAGACTCTGAAACAGGCTCCAGGCTCTGAGCTGGCTGTCAGCACAGAGTGCTTGGACCCACTAACCATGAGATCATGACCTGAGCCGAAGTTGGACGCTCAGCTGAGCCACCGAGGCGCCCCTAGTATTTTATGTTTAGTGGATTTGTTCTGAAAGCTAAATTTCTTATGTATGGTAAGTCCTACCAATACCTTTGAATTTAGAAGTAAATACACAAACTATTATACTTTTTCATAATATTGCCCTAAAGCAAAGAATAGAAGAACCAACAAATCAGACAAGTCAAAGCCCTTGATTCAGAGTTAGCCTTATGCAGACAGGCAAACAGTCAGTTAATTCATGTCATTGAAGAAGCACCTCCACATTAAAATTTATCCTGCTTTAGTGTTTGAAACTGCTTTATTAGACTACCATTCTTATCAGAATTATTGAAAAATGAACTACCTTGCTTTCACAGCTGGTGAATTAGCTCTCTAAGGAAGCATTGAGATATAGGGTGACTACTTGGCAAGAGAAATAAAGAGTGAACTCAGGAACCACAGGAGGAGTTGGATTAGATGAGTATTCATGTAACAGTCAGCAGTGTCCCAAGGGAGCCTTCTTCTGAAGATCACTTAGACATTTATATTCATGAGACCAGCGTAGGCTACTTGTCACCACATTCACTTAGAAGGATATAAAACAGGAAACACAGCTTGAAATAGGACAGCATCAGGCATTTCTCTTTAGTGGGATTCATCCTTACACCAGTCTACACAGCAGTCCAAAAGTTACACTTCTTTGTCACCTTATCCACCAGGTAAAAGCTTAGGTGCAAAAAGATGATACCTATATCATTATGTATGAGATCTATCTTAGCTTAGTAGTTTTATGCCCACCCCCCATCCCCTCTCCCCCCTGCTCCCAGGAGCCAGTATCTCCCAGATAAGCTTCCATGGTCTCCACAAGGAATATGTGCAATTATGACTCATCAAATTCAGAGATTCAAAAAAGCTATAATCCTTGTCAAGTATTTATAAATCCTATGAGTTCAGATTTAATCTCCAACTCAGGAGTCACTTTTACCATGATCAATTTTGCTTAATAACACAACTTACGGTCTACCTCCATCAGGTCTCAAGGGAACCAGATCTAAAAAGTTAACCCAAGGTAGAACTTGCCCATATAGAATGTGACAGAGTTTGGAAAACCCTTCCTAATACAAATTCCAACTCTCATGTTCATGATTTTAACAAGGTTAATTGCTTAGCTTATTTAGGGGTGGTCACTCTAGTTGATGATAATTCACCTATATTCATCCATTTATTCAGTTTATTCAGTTAGTAAGTATTGAGCTCCTACTTTAAGCCAGTTCCTAAATGCATGACTCAGCTTTTTTTCTTTTTTTTTTTTTATTGCTTTCTGGCAAAATATCTGAACCTTGCAATGATTGTATAGGTATGACATTATAATAATGTGCACCAATAGTTGACATACAGAGCAGGGAGGGCTGCAACTATTTTAAACAGTTGCCCTCCCTAGTCAAGCATGTGCCCTCTGAAAGGGTAAGATCTTGGTTTTCATCTTTGTTTCCTCAGTTGCATTATGGTACCAGACCCATAGTTGTGTTTAGCTCTTGTTTGTCACGTGAGTTATCTCAGTGGATCTTAGGTAGGACAATTTGATTAAAATCTAGTGATATTTACTCAGTAACTGGTGGAATTTTAGGGTCAACTAAGTGACCTAGTTTCCAGGATTCTTTCTAGTGGTGGCTGTCCATGCATGTCAGATTGCCTATATTCTGCAATTTCATTGAGCAAATCTGAAAAGTGACATAGAGACTGAGAATATCAACAGTGTAACATGACAGTTGATATTAAAGGCTCTGGAGTCCTGGTACAAATCTTTGCTCTAACCTAGGGTCATGCTGTATGATCTTGGGCAAGTCATCTGGCCTCTCTAATCCTCAATTTTCTTCTGTAAGTGGGAAAAAACAAATTTGTTGGTGTTGTTACAAGGATTAAATAAGATAACATAGGCAGGTAGGTAGGTAGATAGATAGATAGATAGATAGATAGATAGATGGATGGATAGATAAACAGATAAATAGCACCTGGCACATTTCAGTGCATAATGAAAGAAGTTATTCATTTAATGAATCTTTATCAAGTTTAATGGTACCAGAATCAAAATAAATCAAAGATAACAGCTCATAAACAGACCATAAAAACATCCAACTATGGTTTTTTATTAAATGCAAATGCAAAGTGTTTACCACATTGAAAAAATCAAGAAGTCATTATAATGCTTGTGACTCATTTTTGTCTTTGGCAGACAGAAGGATTTAAATATCCCAGGCCATCCTCAGTTCCACCTTCCCCTTCAGGGTCTCAGGTCTCTAGTCCTCAGAGCAGTGATGTGGAAGATGAAGAGGATGAGCACTACAATGAGGAAGAGGAGGCTGAAAGGGATCGGTTAAATATCAAGTCGCCATTGTCTCTGGGCCGGGTTCCTCGTGGGAAGAAAAAGCTGCATGGTGAATACAAGAACTGAATTCCACGCTTGTAGAACAGAACTAATGTAGTAAGAACATAGTAAGAATGATTATTCAAAGACATGAAAATGCTTTTCTTCTTCTAACTATTACAAGAGGATTTATTTCTCTGCCTCCAAAGGGGAGAAAATTAAGTGAATCGCAATTTTCTAATTTCTAATAAAATCCAAGTTATTTCCCTATACTCTTTTTTCACCAGTAAATTTAGGCATGAGGAAGTGTTCATTAAAGGAAAAAGACTAGATGTGGGTTGTTGTTGTTGTTGTTTTAAATAGGCTCCAAATGTGGAGTTTGAACCCACAACCTTGATATCAAGACCTGAGCTGAGATCAAGAGTCAGATGCTTAACTGAGTCACCCAGATGCTCTTAGAAATATTTTTAAATATTTTTAAATTTTTAACTTTAATTTTTAAATATTCTTAAAATGGTTAATTTCAGTGATAAGAATTTTTATTGGCTAGTGTTTATTTTTAAGTGATCATCACCATAATCCTTTGCTTAGTATTTATACAGCTTCCATATCTACCAAACAAGCTTCCCAATTTCCCCACAAAGGATCCTGATCTAAGGACATCCAGATGGCCAACAGACACATGAAATGATGCTTAGCATCCCTCCTCATCAGGAAAATACAAAGCAAAACCACATTGAGATACCACCTCACGCTGGTTAGAGTGGCTAAAATGAACAAATCAGAGGACTCTAGATGCTGGCGAGGATGTGGGGAAACGGGCACCCTCCTACACTGTTGGTGGGAATGTAAACTGGTGCAGCCCCTCTGGAAAACAGTGTGGAGGTTCCTCAAAAAAATAACAATAGAACTCCCCTATAACCCAGCAATAGCACTACTAGGAATTTACCCAAGGGATACAGGAGTGCTGATGCATAGGGGCACATGGACCCCAATGTTCATAGAAGCACTCTCAACGATAGCCAAAACATGGAAAGAGCCTAAGTGTCCATCAACTGATGAATGGATCAAGAAGATGTGGTATATTTATACAATGGAATACTACATGGCAATGAGAAAGAATGAAATCTGGCCATGTGTAGCAACATGGATGGAACTAGAGGCTGTTATGCTGAGCTAAATAAGTCAGGCAGAGAAGGACAGATACCATATGTTTGCACGTATAGGTGGATTAGGAGGAACTTAATAGGACCATGGGGGAGAAGAAGGGGAAAAATAGTGGGGCAGAGGGAGGGAGGCAAACCATGAGAGTCTCTTGAATGCCGAGAACAAACTGAGGGCTGATGGAGGTGGGGAGAGGGGAATGGGGGTGACGGGCATGGAGGAGGGCACTTGTGGGGATGAGCACTGGGTGTTATATGGAAACCAACGTGACAATAAACTATTAAAAAATAAAAATAAAACTTTTTAAAAATTAGCAAAAAGAAAATATAGAGTCTACTTAATTATAGTAAGGACAATGTCCCTAAACACATCATGGACGTGTTTAGGGACAATGTTGAACAATTGTGAACATATTTTTGTTTTAAATGTAACTAAACCTAGGGGCTCCTGGATGGCTCAGTCAGTTGAGTGTCCAACTCTTGGTTTTGGCCCATGTCATGATGTCACAGTTTGTAGGATCAAGACCCACATTGGGCTCTGTGCTGAGCACGGAGCCTGTTTAGGATTCTCTTTCTCCCTCTATCTCTGCCCCTCTCCCACTCTCTCTCTCTCTCAAAATAAATAAATAAACTTTAAAAATTATTAAAGGTAATGACATCTAAATAGGCCAAAAAAACAACAAAAACAAAAAAAACAAAAAAAAAACCTTCACTCACTCTTGGATTATTTTTTTCCACAACTTAAGAATTGTTACATTTAGATCACAGTGAAAACCTTGGTTGCCATATCACTTGACCTAGGTCTGCAGAGCTTTTTAAAAAGTTTTAGTCTGCTCAGTGCTTGAATGGCCATGAGTCAGATGGCTCAGGACTAGTGGGAAACTGTAATCCAGCTTTCCAACGGCTTGCCCCATTGATGAGGAGAACAAAGCCAAGAAAAATGCAGTTTGTTAAATCTCCTTACAGCCTGCAGCCCACTGATAGATACCTGAGGTGTGCAGGAGGTAACATTCCTCCAGGGTTCATGGCTGTCTTAATGCCTTAATATTTATATTTCATTAAAGATAAAAGCAACCTTATCTTGACAATAGCTAAGTTTTGAAGGTCCTGCAAGACCCAGCTTTCAGCATACAAAAACTTCTTGGAAACTTATGTTATCTCTACCCCACCCCTCCCTCCACAAACTTAAAATATATAATCAGTCTTCCTTCACACTTGTAGATACAGTTCTTTCTGCCTATGGGTCCTGTCCTTATTCTATAATAAAATTATCTTTAATTTTGGTGCAAATTATAATTTTGCACCAAAAATGTCTCAGAAGTTCTTTCTTAGCTGTTCGCTCTCAAACTGAAACTTCAAATCACATCACTATTGTTAAGAAATAGTAGATGAATGGTGGATAGATGCCATAAATCAGGCCCACAATGGAAGATGACTGCAAACTTACCTCATTTAGAGATTCAGGAAAAAGGGAAGTAAAATTACTTAAGGCCTAATCCTTGAAAAATGGCCTGTGGATGCCAATTAACCCCACATCTGCAGAGCAATTTGGGAAAGTCTGCACAGGGAGTCAGAAAATATGAGATGGACTTGTATTATAATATATTCATGTGCTGAAGTGACAGAAAGATCTCATGATAAAAAAAAAGTGGGTTCAGTGTTACAAAAACCATGAAAATCTATTCCTAGTAAGGTGGCACAATGTGTCTATTCAAATGATACCCTTGGTTGATAACTGGTTAATCTATGTTATTGAAAGCATGGGATTTCCTCTGTAAAATAGCTTCTTAATAAAAAATTTTTTAAATTCGAGCGTTTTTTTTCTGAATGAAAGAATAGTTTTCTAATTAGTAAGGAGTACAAATGATAGAGCACATGGAAATACAATGACTTGCAAACACCTTTTTTTTTTTTTAATGTATACTTATCTTGAGAGAGAGGGCGCATGTGCACACACACGCACACACACGCATGAATGGGGGAGGGAAAGAGAGAGAGGGAGAGAGAGAATCCCAAGCAGGCTCTGTACTGTCAGCATAGAGCTTGAGGTGGGGCTGGATCCCATGACTCTGGGATCATGACTGAACTGAAATCAAGAATCAGATGCTTAACTGACGGAGCCACCCAGGTGCCCCAGCCAGTGCAAACACCTGGTTTTGAGTGGCATGTTTCTACCCTGTGCTCAGTCCTCTATTCAGACAGCTGCTGCTACTGGACTCCATCCCCTTGCTTCAGTCATTTACTGTGCTTTCTCCAAGACTGACAAAGCCAGGTGAGGAGCAAGAAATAAGGCTGTTAGTAGGTGACTCTGTTTCTAGCACACGCCATATACACAGCTGCTGCACAAATGAATGGTCTTACTGAGAGAAACAGAGGCACAAAAAATGATGTTTTTAAAGACTGTATGTCTTCATAAATTGGAATACAAGAACTATAGACAGAATGTTATCGCAGCTGGGCACAGGGGCCTGTATGCAACTACTATGTTAATCAGCACATCTGTATGGCAGAACAACATTCAAGGAATTCAAGCACCTATAATACACTTGGTATTCTATACAATACTAATAATATTATAATATAATACTGTATTATTTTAATAGCTGTTGGTCATTTATTTCAAAATTATTTAAAAAATTTTTTAATGTTTTATTTACTTCTGAGAGAGAGAGAGACAGCATGAACAGGGGAGGGTCAGAGAGAGAGGGAGATACAGAATTCGAAACAGGCTCCAGGCTCTGAGCTAGTTGTCAGCACAGAGCCCAATGCGGGGCTCGAGCCCACGAACCGTGAGATCATACCTGAGCTGAAGTCGGACACTTAACCGACTGAGCCACCCAGGCACCCCTAAAATTTTTTTTAATATTTATTTTTGAGAGAGAAACCGAGACAGAGACAGAGCACAAGTGAGGGAGTGGAAAAGAGAGAGGGAGAATCCAAAGCAGGCTCCAGGCTCTGAGCTGTCAGCACAAAGCTGGACACGGGGCTCAAACTCACAGACCACAAGACCATGACCTGAGTCAAAGTCAGTTGCTTAACAGACTGAGCCACTGAGATACCCCTCAAAAGCTTTTAAAAACTGTTTTAGTGTGAAATACTTGAGGTTGTTCTGTTTAGTTGTGGGAAGAATTATTTCGCATGATAGGGTTTTAAAATATTCTTAGAAAAAGCATGATGTTTAAATAGCCAATATGTATAAGTCTGTCACATGAGTAAAATCTCAATAAACAGGACATAAGCACCATCTAGAAAATCCACTTTAAAGCCAAATCATAATAAATGACAGGTGCCTATTATAATACCACATAGTTTTTTAATGCTAGCATATTATTTTTTGTAAGAGATCTGTGTTACATTAACTTGAATATAGTTTCATTATTCAATTATGAAACAAGATACAGACAAATCTTATAAGGATTTGATTTCATAACACAGTGAAACTATAATTCCAAGGTACAGATACATTCACATAAAGATATACTTTAGCTACTGAATAATGTCTATATACTGATGACAATAAGAATTAATGGTTTCCACTTGTGACATTTATCAATAATAATTCTCAATTAATTAAGTCAAAAAATTAACATGGTGATCATATTGCAATTCCAAATAAATAGGTTATTATGCTTGTTGTGGAAATGTGTGTGTGTGTTACTGTATGTGTGTTTATTTTTGATAATTTTGAACCTAAGTTCAAAGTTTTGAGAAGGACCAGATTAGGCGTATCACTATGTACTGATGTGATCAGGGTGTCTTTATGTGACATTTTAATGTAAAATAAAGCCTAGAGCTCTAGTCAGTTAGAGTAAGCAGAGTCTTTGAGTCTGTTTAGCTGTGAAAAATGAGCTACCTCTGAAAAACTGGTTTGTTCCTTTTGTACAATGTACACAGGGGAAGAGCATGTCTCCATCTGCTTATTTTCCAGTAACCTTGGAATTCAGGAGATCCCCAAATAGCACAAAGGGGAGCTCTCCATTGTGGAACCTTCCACCAGCCTCAGAGATCACACCCTCTTTCAGCAACTACACTGAAGTGCTCTTATCACATGGCTTCTTCCCAGTCACCTCCCTCCCTCTTCCCTTCTTAACTTATGTCTCCTAGATGAACTACTAAGAAAACATTCTACTCTTTCCCAACCTGCCATGCCTCCCCTGCCCCTCCAGGGAGATGAGGAAAAGGCAGAAAAGGAGAGGGAGATTCCCTGCTGAGTGACAAGACAATGCAAGTGGAAACAGAATGAAAAGACCAACAGTTAAGAATCGTTAGATCAAGATAGAAACTCTTGTAACAAAAAGAAAGCACACTCTACAAAGTCTCCAGCCTTATACTTAATTCTAAAGGGGGGTAAGGTACAAGGTGACCTAAACAGGACCTGAAGCAATGAAAGAAGACAATGATGATCTCAGCTAAGAACTCTACATTACCTTTACTTCTGGAAAGAATAAAACTGGTTGTGCATGTTCCTAAGATTACAACTGAAGTAAAAAGGCTCCAAAGGCTTTATTTACATGGTTCATATTTTCAACAAGAATGGACTGTGTTTGAATGTAATCTGGTCTATTTTCATCAGATTAGTAGTCTTCTAGGACTCTGGTTTGATCAGTTTTCTTCTCCAGCTGTAAGAAAAAAAAATACATAAAATAAACATACTTTTCCATGTTTCAAAAGGAAAAAAGATAAGATAAAGAGAACCTTAAAAAATATACATTTAGCCTCCTAGATTATGTTAACTCCTGCATTTTGCTATGAAGAATCTATAGCAAATTGATTGACTTGATTTAAAAATTTTTCCCCTTAGCTTGAGACACATAGGGGAACTCACATGTTACATATGACTCTCCAGAATGAATGAAACTATAGTATGATATGTTTGGTAGAAATCTGAAAAGGCCACATGTCTTGCTCTAAGTGTGCCTCATGTCTAAAATATCCACCATTAGGGACGCCTGGGTAGCTCAGTCAGTTGTGTCCAATTTCAGCTCAAGTCATGACCTTGGGTCTGTAAGTTGGAGCCCCTGTGTCCAGGCTGTGTGCTGAGTGACAAGACAATGCAAGCGGTAACAATGAAAAAACCAACAATTAAGAATCACTTGATTAGAGCCTGGAGCCTGCTTCAGATTCTGTGTCTCCTTCTCTCTCTACCCCTTCCCTGCTGGTGCTCTGTCTCTCTCTCTCTCTGTCTCTCTCTAAGATAAGTAAATGTTAAAAAAATTAAAAAATAAAATAAAATATCCACCATTAGAGCCATTAAACTGCATCAAGGCGCTGTCTCCCAGTTTCCTGTTAACAGTGCATCCTACTTGGGAAAGATGACATGGGAATACTTTTGCACATATTCTCTTATTAGCTGAGCTATACTAGGCCTGGAGAGGAAATGAAACAAAAAGAAGGGACGCTTGTTAGATGGATAGGATTGCAAAACTTTAGAGCACGAGATACCATTTCCGGGGCACGATAGCTAAGGAGTCAGATGATAGGTTCCTGGGACTGTAACAATGGGCAGAAGAGTTAAAACCTACCATGGGTTTGGGACCGGGAGTTACCAGAGGAAAATGCCTCTCCTAACTTTCTTTAAGATTATTTCTAGATAGGGGCGCCTGGGTGGCTTAGTCGGTTAAGCGTCCGACTTTCGCTTAGGTCGTGATCTCATGGTTCGTGGGTTCGAGCCCCGCGTCGGGCTCTGTGCTGACTGCCAGCTCGGAGCCTGGAGCCTGTTTCAGTCTGTGACTCCCTCTCTCTCTGACCCTCCCCTGCTCACGCTGTCTCTCTCTCCTAGAAATAAATAAAAATATTAAAAAAAAAAAAAGATTATTTCTAGATAAAACTGCATTCCCTTAGTTAGTTACAATATAATTTGAATGTCCGAGTTACATTTTAACTTGAATTGCTAGCATATTTTAGAATATTACAGATGATAGGCTGCTCTTTAAAGAGAAGGAAAAAAACCTCAGTAAGAAGTACATCCTTGTATATCAGTCACTAAAATAAAAACTCACTATATAAAATAAGAGCCTACCAAAAAATACTTAAGGATTTTAGAATAAAAATATTAAGGGCAGCTAATAACAAATATATCATATGGAAATCCAAAATTTTCCATCAGTTTAAACTAATAAAATTTTGTTCCTTTATTTCATCATCAGAATCTCTGGAAACTTCAATGATTACAAAATGACATTTATTTTCCAGGGCACCTGGGTGGCTCAGTCGATTAAGTGTCTGACTCTTGATTTCAGCTCAAGTCATGATCCCAGGGTCATAGGATTGAGCCCCATGTCAGGCTTTGCACTGAGCATGGAGCCTGCTTGGGATTCTCTCTCTCTCTCTCTCTCTCTCTCTCTCTCTCAATCTCTCTCTCTCAATCTCTCTCTCTCTCTTTTATACACACACACACACACACATGCTCTCTCTAAAATAAGAAAATTTAATTACATTTATTTTCCAAAAAAGACTTGAAATTGAGACATATAATCACACACCCTTCCCTAAAGTTTCTAATGAAGATCCTTCTTCCCCTCTTTAAATTTTTTAATGTTTATTCATTCTTGAGAGAGAGAGAGAGAGAGAGAGAGGGAACAAGTGGGGGAGGGGCAGAGAGAGAGGGAGACATAGAATTTGAAGCAGGCTCCAGTCTCTGAACTGTCAGCACAGAGCTGGACGTGGGGCTCAAACTCACAAACCACAAGATCATGGCTTGAGGGGAAGTCAGACGCTCAACTCGACCGAGTCACCCAGGAGGCCCTTTCATCCCCTCTTTAAAATTAGCCCCCTGCCTTTCCATTCCAGCTCACTTTTTTTTTTTTTTCTGGCTCCATACATTTTCCCAGCAACCAAATCAAAAACTTCTCCTTCAATCCATCTTCGTCAGCGATCTCCTCCTACACATTTCAACAATCAGTAAGCGTGCCTGCTCAATAGTCCAATTTAGAAAAGGTCACCTTGGATGCAGCATCCTTTACCCATGTTTTAACTACTTCTCACCTTTTCATTACAAGAGTTCTGACAGCCATGCCAGCTAGCACTATTTTCTTCTGGTCCCAGATTTGCTCTAAACAAGATTTCAGAAGGGGCATAGCAGTGGCAAGTAGAATCACCAGGCAGGGGGACGCCTGGGTGGCTTAGTCGGTTAAGCGTCCGACTTTCGCTTAGGTCATGATCTCGCGGTTCGTGGGTTCGAGCCCCACGTCGGGCTATGTGCTGACTGCCAGCTCAGAGCCTGGAGCCTGTTTCAGAGTCTGTGACTCCCTCTCTCTCTGACCCTCCCCTGCTCACGCTGTCTCTCTCTCTCTCCTAGAAATAAATAAAACATTTAAAAAAAATTTAGAATCACCAGACAGGGGCTGAGTGGAAGTTGTGAACTGCTATTCAATGGCCTGTCCTAACCAATGCGATCCTCCTTTCCATTGATTTCTGTGCTCTTACTAACCATTCTGCTACATGTGATGCTTTAACCACTCCTTTCTTGGAATTCTCCATCCTTGATTTCTGGAAATGCTATTATTCTGGTTCTCCTCTTACATCCCTGCTTTCTCCTTTAACTGTCCCTTCACTGATCTGACTTTCCTCCTTTCCCTTAATCTCTAGGTGTTCTCCAAGGCAAATCCTTTATTGTCTGCCCTTCTGTTATATCTGAGGCCTAGAAGAGATTTCCATTTTCATGGTTTCAACCTTTCTTAACTGGCTCTGAATTTTCAGTCATTCTCAAATCTGACTAATCATCAGAATCATTTGGAGTAACTTCTTAAGGATGCAGATTCTGAGGGGCGCCTGGGTGGCTTAGTCGGTTAAGCGTCCGACTTTCGCTTAGGTCATGATCTCGCGGTTCGTGGGTTCGGGCCCCGCGTCGGGCTCTGTGCTGACTGCCAGCTCAGAGCCTGGAGCCTATTTCAGAGTCTGTATCTCCCTCTCTCTCTGACCCTCCCCTGCTCACGCCATCTCTCTCTCCTGGAAATAAATAAAACATTAAAAAAAAAAAAAAAGGATGCAGATTCTGAGGCCTCATCCAAGTTTTACAGAATCAGAATCTCTGAGTCTAAGGCTGAGAAATCTGAATTTTGAGGACTCTCTCCAGTTAACTCTAATGGAATCAGTCCACAGATGGATAGTTGAGAACCACTGACCTACACACCTTTATTCACTGGACCGTCTCTGTCATCTTGAACTGAACTTTAATTATAGCCACAGAAATTTTCATTCCTCGACAGAATAACCATTTCAAATTCTCACACACACCACTTCAAAAACGTGCTTGTTCTGGATTCCCTTTTATCCCTTCGGTGAATAGTTACCCACGTTACTTATTCTTCCTTCCAGGACATCTCAGAGTGGAGCTTCTCTATCCTTTCCTGACCGACTGTACCTCATCTCCTCACTCCTGTGGTTTCCTTTCACTTTCCTTGGCTTCTCCCTGATTCCCGTCTGTGGTCTTCTTCTTTGATACAAATGCATTTGAGAGACAGAAAGGTATAAAGGAGAGCGCTGTGGAGTCACACGGACCTGAGTTAAAATCCCAACATGGCTTTATACCAACTGGGTGACCTTAGGAAAGTAAATATACCTCATGAAGGTTCAGGTTTCTGAGCTGTTAAAGGTTAGCATTCATATTTGACACACAGTAGACATTCCCACATTGTAGCTATTTTTCCTGTCCTTATTGTTACCTTCTCTGCCATAATCATTGTTACCATTTTATTGTTATTCTCTGTGCCATAATCAGATTCATCCCCCTTCACCACATCATGGCTCTGCTGTGAATCCAGAGGGCATTTTACTGATTTTCAGACAAATTATCTTCATTCTTCATCTCCGTTTTAGAGGTACTTGCTATGTAATAGTGGGCAAGCCACTTAATCTTTCTATGCCTCTATTTTCTTACCTGGAAAGTGTGGATAATAATGTCGTTACCTCTCAGGGTTACTATGAGGGCTAAATGTATTGACTCATACCATATGCACACACACACACAAACCCATAAACTTGAAGCTTGAGCAAAAAGTACCTTTTGCTCTCTTCTCCTCCCCACTTGGCCCATCCAATACTAGGCACAGATGATATGTCTTCTGAATCAGCATAAGTATCAGAGCACAAGGTCAGCAGCCTGTGCTTTGATCACCAGATCATTTGCTATATGTTTTTTTAAATATTTAAAATTTTTAATTATGTCACCATATGGCATCATTACAGTTTTTGAGAGGGAATATTCTAGATCTGTTTACTATACTTTGATGACCTCTATTGTTAATAGCAATTAAAACTATGTACCTTGTTTCAAGTAGCTCTCATAGCAACCCTACACATAGGCATCATTATTCCATATTACCAATAATGATACTAAGACTCAGGGTCATCTAGCTAGTAAAGCAGCAGAACCAGGATTTAAACCCAGTCTATTACATACTTCAAAGCCCTGGCTTATCTAGTAGCAAGGTGCCTTAATTCAACTAGTGGTTTCAATGATATGTGGACAGAGTGTCTCTTTTTTTTTAATGTTTATTTTTGAGAGACAGAACACAAGCTGGGGAGGGGCAGAGAGAGAGGAAGACACAGAATCCAAAGTGGGCTGTAGGCTCTGAGTTGTCAGCACAGAGCTAGATGCGGGGCTCAAACTCATGAGCCATGATATCATGACCTGAGCCGAAGTTGAGTTCCCAACTGACTGAGACACCCAGGCGCCCCAGAGTGTCTCTATTTGAAAATTACATCTAATCTTAGTATAGAAGCAGCTGTATAGTAAAATGAAAATTACACAGGCTTAGAATCAGAACTGGCCCAGCACTCTTGCTATGTGGTCAAGTGAAAACTATGTCATTTTCAGCAGTCTCATTTGGTTCAATAGTGAGCAACTGGATTTAAAATTTTTAAACCTCATTGACTTCAGGTTTTTCAACTATATATAATGAGGTTGAACTCAGCATTTTTAGTGCTAGAGTTCTAAGTAAAATAAGGTTAAAATAGGCTGTGGCTTATGAAATGAATATGAAATTCCCCAATGTCATCAAGGAAATGTTTTTATGTTCTTGGGGACTCACTTTAATGAGAAATGTGCTAGTGTTTATATAATAAACATGACTGAATTTCTTTGGGGGGGTGACTGTTAATTATATTTAAAAATCTGAACAAAGGCAACTTTTTTGTATTCAACACAGAATCCAAAAAGTAATCAAAGCTTCCCCTGGCAATTGAAAGAGGTCATTATATTTGTACCTTCTTGAGGTCTCTCTGCAAGGAAGCCAATAGCAGAGCTGCTGTTTCTGGAAGAGTTAGTAGTTGCAGATTTGGGCTTCGTCTTTCTGGAGAAATAAAAGTGTATACACATTCTATTAGTATTTAAATACTCCTTCAGTAGATAAATCTTATTCTGATGTGCTATAAATAGAACAGCCTTTTTGAAATAAATTTTTGATACTTCAGCAAAGGGTGCCCCTTACACAGAAGACTGATTTTTATGAACTTCACACTTCCCTTGGACACTACTTACAATTGGTTATGCTGTGTATTACAGATATGGAAGGGAGTTTAAATATACTACAGACAGTATTATGAAAGGAGGGTGGATTAAGATAAAGAACCTTTAGTAATTTCTCCCTTCAGAGCTTAACATGAGATGTCTGGGCGGAAACATTTAGATGGAATGGATCCTCCTTGGAGTCTGGACTACTTCCTCTCTCCGTTCAAAACAGTTTGAGATAACAATTTACATTCTTGGCCACACATAAGGCAAGTAATAGTCCCTGGCCCTATTCTTAATGGCCCCTACCTATTAGCTATTTCTGATTTTGAACCGCTTTATAGTCCTTTCTAGTAATGTAACAGGGGCGTACATTTGAAGTTTCCAGGGAAATCATTACTTTAGTAACAAGAACATTTAAGAGGAAACTGCGTTAAGGTCTTGCCAAAAGCGGGAGGTACATTTAGGGACAGTAGCACAGTCCTCACTCCTCTTCCTTTACTCATCGAACGTGAACCCCAGGTTGGCCTTTCCCTGGATAACCTCCACCCCCGGGACCTCTGCACTCCCGTCGGTCAGAGGGCACTCAGAGCAGCCGAGGCCGAGTTCAGCTTCCGGAGCCTCAGCGGAACACGAGTGCGGGGCGCCGCGGCTGCCAGCCTGGGCTCGGCCCTGGCTGGGCTCGGCCCTGGCTGGGCTCGGCCCTGGCTGGGCTCGGCCCTGGCTGGGCTCGGCGCGTGCTGGGCTCGACCCTGGCGGGGCTTGGCCGGGCTGGGCTCGACCTTGGCGGGGCTTGGCCGGGCTGGGCTCGGCGCTGGCGGGGCCCGGCCCTGGCTGGGCGCGAGCTGGCTGGGCTCGGCGCGTGCTGGGCTCGACCCTGGCGGGGCTTGGCCGGGCTGGGCTCGACC